GGTTCAGTTCAGGTTCATAAATTCAAAGTTCAATTCAGGTTCAGGTTCAAAGATCTGCAAAATTTGTGGTTCAGGTTCAGGTTCATTGAACCTGAACTTGAACTGAACTGAACCTAGGAACCCTAACTCTAAGCTATCTTTATTTAATCTATTAAGATATATGCCAAGTACAAATGATAATAAACTAATTATAATAGTAGCTATTCCAGTTTTATTGGATAATGATTGAAGTTTTTTTCAGGCTATAAATCTTCTTCTTAACTTAACACCATGATATAATTCTAGATTAAAAATATCTAATTCTTCGTGATCTTGATTTCTATTTACAGTATTTAACAATATAGCTATAATTGGGTTATTTGTAGATGTGATAGCAATAATTGGGTTATCTGTAGATGTGGTAGCAGAAATTGGGTTATCTGAAGATGTGGTAGCAATAATTGGGTCATCTGAAGATGTGATGGCATCAATGGCTGATGTCATGCTTTTGAATCACAAATAAAATGTATTTTCAAAATTGATACTTTTATATAGAGCTGTGACCTGGGTTGAAAAATAGCAACTCGGGTTTGATCTGGGTCAACCATTTTCAACCTGGGTTGACTCTTGTCAATAGTTATATAGGTTAAGCTTGAAAATATATTTTGAAATATAACCATTTTAACTCGGAAAATCTCGGGTTAACTCAGAAAATCTCAGGTTCAGTGTTAAAAAAAAACTTTCGACCTTGCTTGTAATTAAAGTTCTTTCATTTTCTATATCAAAAAAACCCAGTTATTGCAATCTATCTGTCCATTTAACTGACTCGTTTAACCCGTGACCTGCCAAAATTCTGACCTGTACAGGTCAAACCAACCCAGGTAATAGCTCTACTTTTATATTTCATATACTTATAAGTTATTAGGCAGTGTTATAAATATTGGATTATTGAAACAAAATCAAAACATAGATTATATTTAAATTCCAAAGTTCTGCAACATATTTTGTATTTTATCACAAATGTTTATCTGTCTTAAACATTTTTTATTCACACTTTTTATCAGCTAAATTTTGTATAAATTAAATAACAATTCTAATTTTCTGTTGTTACCATGTTAATGAAGAATTTTGAAAAATATCTCATTTAATTTGTCCCTTTCATTAAGATAATACTCTTCATATTAATTTTATTAATGTCTTTAGATCTTCAGTAAATAAGATATTTATATTTATACTAGCAGATCTTAAAAGAATGTACTTTAATACAAATTAATAATCTTGATTATCACCTACCAAATATAAATATTACTGCCATTTGTGATAAACAGTTAATAAAGAAAAATACAGATAATACACAAAAAATTATAAATAATATACAAAAAATAATATATATATAGAATAATAAGGTTATAAAATAAATTAATACTGAATAAATATAATAGAAATTATTGTTAATACAAAATTAATAATATATTGAATAGATACAGAATAAATGTTAATACAAAATTAATATTTAATTAATATATTGAATAGATACAGAATAAATGTTAATACAGAATTAATCTTTAATTAATACTGTTGATACAGAATTAATATTTTAATTAATATATGAAATACTGTTGATATAGTAATTAATATATTGAATAGATACGAAATCACTGTTGATACAGAATTAGTATCTTACTCCTATATATTATCCATTTTACTAGATATTTTGCTTGTGATCATCAGTGATCTTTGCAGAGAAAATCACCCTCCAGAATTTTCTGATCGGGCTAATTCAGAAAAGCTTAGACCAGAATGCTAGTTTTTATTCTTATATAAATCACATTTTGCTTTATTTTATTCAATAATTTATTAAATAAACTGTTGAATCAGTAAAGTAAAAAGATAGTTTTAATGCAAATAAGAACCAGCATTCTGGTCTAAGCTTTTTCAAATTAGCTTGATCAGAAAATCCTAAAGAGTGATTTTTCTAGCAAAGATTTCATCTGCATATGTTACTTTGATGTCATTTGCCAACATTTAATATGATTGTCATATTGAATAGTTTTGCCATGTATAATAAGCACATTAAGATGTTAATAATATATTCTAAAATAAAAAAATTAGAATTGGAAATAAAAATAAAAATAAATAAAAATAAATAATTTTTATTAATATAATGTCATAGTAAAAACTTTATTATAGTCAGTCTGAAGATTAAAAGTTATCTTATAGTCCACAAATCCAGGTAAGGGGACAGATAAGCTATTTATTTATAACATGGCTGCCAAAACTCTTCAATTTGAACTAGCAGATTTTAAGAAGGTTAATTAGAAAAAGAATTTCTATAGTTAAAGATTTCTAACTACACTTGTGCTACAGAGCACCCAATATGACATTACACCTCCTATTTCCTATTTTAGTGCTATTATTAGTTTAAATGAATAAAATAAATCTAGCTAGGATAGGTTAGAGAAAGCCTAAGGTGTTTATCATAACATTACATAATGCATGTTGTTAAGGAGAATCTTTGCAAGTACCATTTTTCAATGGTAGAGCATGAATTTTGTAGTTGGTAGTAGATATTTCTGTGCTTGATCAATTAGTAATGAGTGGTAGAGAAAATTTGGTATGTTTGGTTTTATTGGTAATATTTCGGGCCATTTCCCATTAGTGTTGATGTATATTTCATTGAGGCCATATTTCATGATAGAACTATTTAAAAAAATTGTTTGAGAGACTGATCGCAAATGATTCAGTTTGTTTATTTAGTAGAGTTTTAAGAGTATAATAAATTGGTTTTGAGTAAATACTGAGAATAGTAAGGAGTAGGAAGTTATATTGAGGATTTATAAAATCGAATGTAGCTTGTGAAAGAGTATTAAGAATTGTAATTGATGGAGTAGATGTAATTTCTTGCTGATTTAATATGTTTAAGGTTATATTAAGAAGTGATTATTGAATATTTTCATTTTTTTTGGACATAGAAGTATGTGAAGAGTGTTTTTTATTGTGAAACATTTACAACAGCCATCTGTTATATAAAGATTAGGGTATCAGATTTTAAGATTTTGCATAGTAGCTAGACTATTTGTAAGGGCTTTAATATAAAAGGAGTATTTTGAAGAGCAATGCTCAAGAGAGTTAAAAATTTTGAAGATAAGATTCCAATTTATGTCAGATATATAATTATTAAAAAATTTGAGAGAGGTCATAAGAGAAGCTCTTGAATTGTAATGGTGCTTTTGATGAATGAACGAATTTTAAGTGTTATTGTATAGTTATACCAGATAAAGTGAATGGGGAAATTAAAGTGTGAAGAAAAGATTTCTATAATTGGTTTAGTTGTGCCACGTTTAGCTAAAAGATTAGCTTGGTTATAGAGAGAGTTATTTGAATGAGATTTAACTTTAATAAGATTAATAGAAATATTTTTAGTAATTATAAATGAGTTAATAATAAAGATAATGTCCTAGTTTTTTGTTGGATAAGTTTATGAGATGTAGAATCTGATAAGCCTTTAATTGCTTAAAGGCTGTCTATATAGATAGTAAGTGTAGAATTGATTAGTAAAGTAAGAAGTAGAGGAATGGTTGCTATTAGTTCTGAGTAAGTAGAGTAAGGAGAAGGAGGGATTGCTGCACAAAATTTAATAGAGGGTTATTTTCACAGATTCAACCAATGCCAGTCTGTATATTAGGTATTAGAAGATTTTTAATAGAAGCATCAGTATAGAATTGTAAATCAGTTGTGTTTAAGTTTGAGATATTGTTATATAGTTGGATTAGGTGGTTTTGATAGC